ATTGTAGTTGGATCTATAAGACTCTTTTCAGTTTTGGTCCATCCTAATACATATACATATAACTACAATTTTTTCTTTTAGATTTACTTTCCCAAATTACTTTTACCTCATTTCCTAATGCCTGTTTTAGATTTAATTTAAAATCCTAAAAGAAATCTAGGTTATTTAAATCCTCACAGGATTCTCAATTAATTATGGCCTTTAGAGACGACTGGACATTCAGGTCCTGAGTAAACTATACATAAAAAATTAGTTGAAGAGATGCATTAAATTTCTTCGTAAATAATTTCAAATTTTAAGTCCCGTAAATACTGAGTCACTACAGAACCAAAAATGTCAATTCAGATATGTTTGTCAATTTAGTACATATTAGTTTGAAGCTTCTGTCTCAAACTTCACATCGGCTTTTCATGGCAACACAAACAGTAATACGCAACCCAGCCATATCAAATTTTAAGCAAATCCAAAAGCTTTACTGTGTTTCTGACTCAAGAGCCCCAGCTGCAAACGTTTTCAAATGTGTAATATTATTCTAAAACCTTGTAAGCCATGCAATATGTTCTAAAGCTAAAATATATTTCCGAGACATACTTATTCTAAACCTAACAGTTAAAAGAATATTTATGATGAAATAGGAAAGCACAATTAAGTTCTCTTTGTAATCTGTCATATCTATTTATATAGAAATACCTAGTATGCAGAAAATTAGGGGCCGATTACAAGCAAAAAGGATTCAATCAAGCGATAAATTGTAAATTATAGGCAATTATCCATAATGGGGCGAGCAATTTGCATCAGTTACGGAATAACGTTTCTGACTTGTATGCATAAGGCGCATATTTGAGTAATAAATTATGCCTTGGCTACTTTTTCCTGTTTTGGCTATATAGCTAATTCTAATATTTGGTGTTGCCAGACTTATTCTGAGCTGCTACCAATTTAGACCAGCTGTAAGTTTTATATTGTTGTTGTATAATATTTTTCTTTCTATTGCTAAATATTTATGCGCCGTGAATAATTGTATCAGGTAGACATACATTTCATTGGTATTCGCGAGTTCAAGATATTCTCCAGCTTTCCATCCTAGTCGGATCCGTTGGTACTGATGTTACTAATCCTATCTTGTTTGCTTCCATTTCCCAGTCCTCTAGCATATTTTTTATTACTACAACTTTCCAGATCCCTTGAGTCTTTTTTCATGCATATCGATATTATAATGGCATTTTTTTCATTCTTCTGGTATAGTTACTTATTGTCCGTCGTTTTTAATTTGACAATTTCCGTATGAGGAGTGAGGGGGTGAAGCGTATGGCCAAAACAGGTGTGACGTTAGGTAACCATTGGCGTTCTATTATAGGGTGCCACCAGCTCACATTCCTTTGAAGTATCAGATTAAAATCGACAGACAGTACTTGTATCAAGCATCCATTGGAAAGTTTGCGAAGTCCTTCTATTGTTTGTCACATTCTTTGATTATTCAGGGGAGTAACTAGTCTTTCCTGAGACTTTGACTTGTTTTATGTCGGCTTTTTATCTGAAGTTGACAGTGTTTGGTTCCAATCTGTTATGATGTCATTATCTATTACTTTTTTTTATTGCCTCTTTTTCCAATGAGTTAATTTTGTCTATTTTTTCAAATTGGATCTCCAACGCCTTCAGTTTGGAAATTTTCTTCATCTTGCTTTGTCATTTTCCTTTCTAATTGTGTGGAAGGAATGCGGGCAGAACCCTCCTGATTGGCCCGAGATTAAATATACATATACGCGGGTCATCGCGTCAGGGTAACCGCAATTTACGCAATGCACCACGTCGAGGACCCGTCGCGTCGTATAGTATAGGTTTTCGTCTTCCCCTCTGCTACTTCATACGTTACCGTGGTTTACTCACTTGTCGCACTTTATCTAGGTGTTTAGTCGCTGCTGAAAACTTTTCTATTTTTTTTTTTGTCAATTGCACTGCTGGGTTTTTCCAAAAGTACCTACTCTGCTACATTTCTTTCTTTATATCATTGATTATTTTATTTTCTGTATTGTAAACTTTAAGTTTCTCCCTCTTCACTAAACTGTTTTCTACCAAGGTATCAACCTTTTCCTAAGCCCTTCCTGTTGTGAGTTGATCAGTTTCATTTATGTCTTCTATGATGAATTTGTGTTGGCTTATATGTAGTCAATTTTGTTTTTTGTTTGTCCATGTGTTTTACTTTTGATAAAGTATTTATGTATTTTGACCATTCTGGAAAATTCTTATAGGTATAGGTACTGCATCTACTTCTCCGCCTTCAGGGGTTTAGATTGGGGTATACACCTGGATGAATTTTATGTTTATAGGTTTGTTGATTCCGTTACATAAATATTTGAGGTGATAAGTTTTCCAGATCTTCTCCAAACTGAATTTCATTCCAACCTTCATTGAAGTGATCGTCGGAGTATATTTTTCATTTGTTCATCATAACTGAAATAAAGGCGATACTCTAGAGACTGACGCAAGGTCAGAGTCCAATTATAAAACACCAAAGGAACAGCTGGAAAATTAAGGAGGATCTACAGCTCCTTGTTCGTGTTGCCCTCAGATAAAACAACGCTTGTTTTCATCTTACAGGCGTGGCCCACTGATCTCAAAAATAAATGGATAAACAATTATATTGTCCCCAAATTTTCGCACAAATTTAGACAATCAAGCCGTACGATTATTTAACCATTTATTTTTGAGATCAGTGGTGTGGCCCTTATGGCCTGGAGCCTGGGTTCCAGGCCATGAGGGCCCCCCAGGAAATGAAAAAACCGACGACTTAGCCAAAGGAGGCGCAGTTACTGAAATGATAGGCCCAGAACCATTCTGCGGAAGCTTTGCAGGCCCTTTTAAAACATCTATCAAGAACTGGATAGACAGAGAGTTAACTGTAGCCCAATTAACAGGACATTTGAAACTTAACAAGCACCTGAAATGAATGAGCCTGGCAGAGGATTCTGTGCAGGTTGCGAAAGAAACTGCCGTACATGTGTGATGCCACTGCGAAGCGCTATGCTGGCTTAGGTTTGCGAAGCGCTATGCAGGCTAAAGCAGGACGCGCACTGAATCGACTCGGACCGGTCGACTCGGCGAAGAGCATTCGGTAGTTGTTGATACTCATGCAATTAAATGAGACTCCGCGCACGGCATCGGACTAGTCGACTCAACGTGGTCGACTCGAGTCTCATTTAATTGCATGAGTATCAAAAACTACCGAATGCTCTTCGCCGAGTCGACCGGTCCGAGTCGATTCAGTGCGCGTCCTGCTATAGGTTTGCGAAGCTTAGAGAGGAAAACCCGAATCCGACAATCTAGTATCATGGCTCTGGAGTCTAATCAGAAAGACTTTAAGAACATATAGGAGACACCACAATAAATCTGACAAGGTTGCAGTGGTAGAGGACGCCTCTGCGCCATCTCAATTCAAACAAATCTAATCTTAATCTGCGTTTTTCTGAACGGGCTAGGCTCTTTTCAGTGCATCCAGTTCTTCTGTTAAAAATTGTTGATTTTCCAGAAGCTCAAAGAAAAATTTTCAACAATCCCCCAGTTGTGAATGCACTAGAATACAGGGTGCAAAGCTATAAGTGCATACTCAAAGTAAAAAGTTTCAGCATAGAACCACGCAGATCAGTTTGAAACAATTATTTCTAGAATACTAATTCAAGAGCGCAAGCTGTTGATCCAATTACGCTGTTAATACATTGATAACTATTATTACATAAGCGCTTCTGCCGCTATTTGAATAATATTGAAAACTTTAATTATGACTTTTGGATAATATCAAATAAATCTTAGGCTTAGCCGTTGTATGTCTGTACCCGTGAAATATAATATAGAATAGTTAACAAACAATGTTATTTAACTTTGACCCACTGCAAAATAAAGTAATTACAGGCCGAAAATAGATATCATAGGGACTATTGACGTGTTTCCAAATCGAATCTACTAATAATGTGAAAGGCAATCACACAACTGACAAATTGGGTTCCCGACGTGCCCGAAAACTGTCCCATCCCAACAGCATCGGACTGCTCTATTCTGGTAGAACAATCAATCCAAATAAAGTTTCCACAAATTAAATTACCCGCAGTCTAGAGATGAAGCCCTAAATCTATCTCTGGATTCTCGCATTTTAAAAGATTAGAGCTCATTTTGTCGGGAGGCTTTAAAATAATTCTACCGTCAGTCAAATTTGATAAGTCGGGTAATTTGATTTCTCTAGTTGCGGGAACTTGGTAATTTTATAACTATGGATTTATTGGATAAACGGAATGTAGTCCCTGATCAGGGCCAGACTGTTATTCAATTTTGCAAGTATTGGACTAAATTTGATTTCTCATCAATTTTATTATGAATTCGTTTCCAAACTTCGAAAATCTGAGGAATGCGTTTTTAGTATGATTCTCAATTATTTTTTTTTAAACTTTATTGTCGGTTTATATAGGTTATGATTCTTTTCAATTTAAACAAATACCGTTTATATTAGTGCATTATAGAGGGATTAAGCAAATCTGCGACTACTTTACTAAAAGTTGTTATTACACCTAGCTCACAAAAGCCGAAGACATAGATAAACAACACTTAACCCTGTCGTTTTCGATAAAGTAGAATAAATTTCAGTCACAAGATCCAACAAAAATATAATTTGTTAACATTACCTCCGCAAATGAAGTAAAATTAACTTCTTGGAAGAGAGTATTTTATTCTGTCTGTATACAAATACATATTATTTAGCAAAATTTTTGACGAAATCTCATAACGCAAATAACCTAGATTTAAAATTTGATAATTTGTTTCCGTAACATTTACCATAACTCATGATTATATGATACAGCATTAACATTCAAACTTCATGATATTTTTGTGGATCGTGTAGACGAGAACAATTTTTAAAAATTAACATAAATTAAAATAGATTGCTGTTTTGAATAAATAAAAACGACAGGGTGCAACCACAACACTGACAACCAATGGCGTGCGTTGCATACTTTCTGGCAGGGAGATGGAGCGATGGCCGGGACTACCATGTCTGGATCTGGATCCGAACCCGGTCAGACTCTTCATACCAGCGAACAGACGCCTGCGCATCGACGTGGAATCTTGGGGCGGCGTCGGTGGAGTTCCACTTGATGAAGCCTGTTGTCTACTGCGACGAGGGTCTGCACAAAGCAGTGGTTAATTTGTTTACTTAACATTACTAAAAATTGTTGAAACATTTTAATTGGTAAAAGCCAGCCCGAAAGAGGCTGTTAAACGTGATAGATTATGAAAAGCAAAACCTTGTCAAATATGGCAGAAATTTCATGGACTTGGTGAGTTATTCAATGCACAATCAGAAGCATATTTTTCTTCTCACTAGCATTTTGGCAAAATTCACACAGAATCTTTAGAGGCTTGAGTCAGCGAAGTCTTGAGAGTCTTAATTATAACACTGGAGAAGGAAGACTATGAAGAGTTTTCAGAACCTTCAATGGCTTTGAACCACTAGTGTTCACGCTGTAAGCCTTTAAACACAATTAGGCAGTTTAAGGTTACATCATATTTCCACATCTCTGTTGAAAAAATAAAACAATGCATTAAATATGAAGATTTAGCTTTACGATTTTTACGGATGGTAATGATAAATTTAGCCGGAGACGTCCAGCCCGATCGGCGTTTCTGTCACTCACTATTAAAGTTTTGTTTCTAGGGCTAGGACGTTATACAAGAATTGTGGAAGCCTTGTCTAATCTGCTAAATTGGTTTAAAGAAACCTAAATTTATCTTCCGCTGAGTATAACAGAAAGAAGTTAAATTCGATTTGAAATCGAATCCACTAATCGTGAAAATTCATAAAACAAATTAATTTTCATTCCCAATATTACACTGTTCGTAATACGGGGAGAGCTTCAAATTAACTTATTTACAACCATTTATCAAAAAGCAAAAACCGAAATCATACCTAGAACAGTAGTAGATATCACGCTAGAACTTATATAAACATTTATAAAGTCAGAATGCCGCCCTAAAGCAATTAAGGTACGGTACAATAATTGACAGATTTGATGTTGGAGCTTTGGAGACTGTATATTCATGCGGTGAATAATAATTAATGCTCGCCTGAAAGAGCGATATTTCAGTGAGCCTTTCAATCTGGGATAGGTAATTAATTGATTATATAATTTCTATTATTTAATGACGTCTGTGGCCATTTTAGGTTTGGGTTGAAAAAAAAAAAATAAAAAAAAAAATACGACACTATAACTTAAAGAGTGTCGTGAGCAAGCTGAGAGTTTTATTATACTTAGGTTATTTGTGCACAATTAAGCTATAATTATTCTAAAAGTTAAAATTGTTAATAGTTTACATCTCACTTGTTAATGATTTACATACGCGTTAATTATTGCCCACCTAATGAATGAAATGGATGCAAAAGCTTGAAAAAACTTACCAATCAAAGTCAAGAAATTTCATTTTGGAGAAACCTTTAAAAAAGGGTTTTTTGATGCATAATCTTCTTCTGTTTAATTTATAGATTTTGTGGCATCTTTAAAGAGTATCATGAGGTTTTTGACTAAAAATGACATTTTTCATCTATCATCGATTCAAACCCTTTTATATTTCTGAAAAATTATTTATTCCCTTACCTGGTTATTACCGAAACGCCAACCCGGCCTTACCTTCGTTATTTATCAATTCTTCTCGCTCACAAAAAAATTAGAACGCCAAAGTAGTTAAACGCGATTTAATTTTCATTTCGTTTTAATGAGCAAGACTTGTAAAATCCCCAGATTTCGAAAAGGGGGGGATATGTTGAAAGAAAATTGGAGATCATTGTGGCCCGAATTAAGGACTCGCTTTATCGAGGGTGGAATGTGGGGATGGCGGAAATTAGGAAGTAAAATTAGAACATGCAATAACGATTGACGCTTAAGGGATTTTCGCAGGTCGTTTGGTAAAAGGCAAACTGAAATAGGCGGCTTATGCAAATTTTATTTAACAGTTTTGTATTTTTATTAGTTGATATTTGAACGCTCAGGAAGTTGTAATTTACGATGCAAGATGCTACCTGAGACTATTTTGAGCGTTGATTATATTATAAGGAATTAGTCTGATTGACATCTACCCAAAAGGATCGACCTCGACCATGATTTTTATGTATTCTTTCAATTGATCAAACTTGGACTTAAAAAATTTAATGCCACCAAAGCAAAGTATCTGTTAAGTTCAGACTGTAAATTGTACTTTATTTATTGTTTTTCATTTTTGAGTCTTTCTAACATATAGGTACCCATATTTACACTGCCAGTGATAGAGAAGAAGAAGTGATTTTAATGTACCATCCATGAATAAAATAAGAAACAATAGGTCAAAAAAAGCTTTCATACAGCGAGAGCATTCATAGCGTTTTTAAGGTTGCTTATTATCAAATGTTCCAAAACATAAAGAAGCTTTCAAAGGAATAAGTGATGCAGAAGATTTAATCGGAAACGATAGTTTTCCAGAGCTTAATCGACAAACGATGATTGGACTAATTTAAAAACAGTTTTACATTATGTTGTAGGGCAATGTTTTTGAAGTAAATTGTTCTGAAAGACATAAAAAATGTGACAATTGTTTCATCAACCCAACAAAAACAAATGAGCTTAGTTTATAGGAGGAATATCAAGTAAATTTTATCAAAGCTACTGCTAGTAGGAAAAACACGAAGTTCTTTAGTTTTGAAGTTAGTTTCACTTAAATCCTTCCCATAAACGTTTAGTGATTGAATAAAATAAACTCTTTGTTTCATTGTATTGATTTTTGCTAGAATAATTTTCGAACTGATTTTTTGGATTGGTCTCTTGAGTTCATCAACATCCTCGAGAGTAATTCAATATGTAATAAGATTAAGATTTTTTTAGTTTTAGTTGTTTTAAACGCGTTTGAAGAGTGACTTGCTCCTATAATAGGTTTTGTATGATATTGGAATAAATTCTGGCATCGTCCATGGCTCTTAAGACTGCCCATAGTTTTGTGGCGTCGAAAGCTTTGTTATCATCCACAAAGGCTCAGTCAAGCCGTACATTTTACTCGTGATATTTCCATAATGAGAACTCCATTGTGCTTTGGCACAATAGAACAAACGAATTGGTAAGTCAATCCATTCGTTTTTGGAAAGGTATAACCTGATTTAATTATCGGAAATGTATTTGACTCAATCTGAAAATCCTAAGCTAAAAAAATTGAATTAGAAACCCTTTCAAGTCTAAGCAGCACTTAATAAAACTAAGTCCTTATCGCAAGATATCGTGTTTCTCACGTAAAATTGTTTCAAAGAAATGTGAGAGCGCAGTTTGAAATTACTTCAAGTTTTAGAACAAGCAACATGTTAAATAATCAGAAAATGTCAAAAGTATAATTACCAATTCCTTGAGGATTTTCTTTTATGAAAATTAAATTGAATTCATAAAGAGTTTATAATATTTGTGCACACTTCGGCTTATTAGCTATTTCCCTGCCGGAAACCGGAGAAAATTAGATTGCCAGCGGAAACTCGGAGATGCATGTCAATTTAGCTAAAAGCCCGTTAATTTAATAATTTCTAAATGTTTGCCTTGTTAATTCTTTTGACCGGGCACTCTAAATCTCAAGAGGTAAATTTTGCTTGGAAAGGTCACGTTCAATACCTGTGATTATTCAGTCGGCTGAAGTTGAAGTGAGTAATTATTTTTGTACAAAGGTTGAAAGTTAATTGTTTTCCGAAATAATCTAAATTATATAATTGCAAATAACACTTCCAGAACATTCTCTTCTTATGAATTATTAGCTTACAAGCCTTAAACCCTTGGCAAAGTGCCAAGGGTCCTGTCGTCAGAAGTCTAAATTCTGTACATGCTTGATGGCAGCCTATTCAACCTAGACAGATTACGAGCCAAGACGACATCGATAATTGAACTTCAATATGCGGATGATAACGTCGAAGTAGAAATGAGCATTCTTTGCAGGACGTAGAACAGCACCTATACCTATACCAGCGAATGCATCATTGACGCTGAAATCCAACACCGCTTAAAGTGTGCACGGCATTCGCGCGACTTCTAGAGAAAGTCTTTGCAATCACGATCAGCGCTGACATCAAACTTCGCGTCTACAATGAAGTTGTAATACCAACACTTACATAAGGCTGCGAAACATGGACCAAACAACTAACATGCCGCATCGATACCAGCAACTGGGAGACGACGGCACCTATATTCCCATGTGAATCTCAATAGAAATATCAAAGGACCAATCTGCACTTTTTTGTCTCATTCAAAGTCATCACTCGACAGCATTCAGCTTAGGCGAATCGCACCTCAAGTCTTGGTACAAAGTCATCACCCGTCACTGTATCGGGTATCGTCGTTCCGTCATCGTATCATCATCCTCCTCGTTGTCGATGTCAGTCACTCGAAATAATATCTGTATTTAAAAAAAAAGTCTGGTTGGGGAGCCGAACCCTCGGACCATTCTAGAGATAAGTGTGTAGACAGCTTTACAGGTCCAGAGACAGGTCTGATACAGCTTTAGCCAGGTGTGTACACAGCTATATAGATCTAGAGACAAGTCTGTATAGCTGAATACAAACCTGTCTCTAGACCTGTATAGCTGTCTACACGTTTGTTTCTAAAATGGTCCGAGGGTTCGGTTCCCCAACCAGACTTTTTTAAAGTATAGAAATTATTTCGAGTGACTGACATCGACGACGACGGGGATGATGACCCGATAGCGAAACGACGATACCCGATGCATTGACGGGTGATGACCTCATACCGAGACCTGAGGTGCGATCCGCTTAAGCTGAAAGTGATGATCTTGAATGGAACGAAGAAGTGAAGATTGAACCAAAGATTTTCTTATGGAGATTTATATGGGAAAATGGGTGAAAGTGCGCCAGCTCTGTCCTAGCACCTTTACTAGTAGACCACGACGGACCACAAACTTTTGAAGAACAGCGACGCAGATACGAGACCGAAAAGTGGAACCGCAGGAAGAAGCGAGATAACAAAGGAAGAGACAATGCTGCCAGAGACAGTGTGTACAAAGACTGTCATAGTGGAAGACTTGAAAGAGTGTGTGGCTCCAGAATCGGTTTATATAGCCATCAGGGTCCTTATTCTTGAAACAGGGGAGCAGCGTTCCTAGGAGAACGAGTATTCCGTCTTCGTTACTTATACTATCATTTGCATAACATTGAGAAAGACAGAACACTCGTTCTCCTGGGAACGCTGCTCCCCTGTTTCAAGAATAAGGAGTCAGAAAACGCATAATCGATGACAATAAGGATAGAATAGAAGATAATCATACTCGGTATCGAGTGATCGCCTTTGATGATGATGATTTAAAACGACGATGTCTCAAAGCGTTTTTGAGATGAATTTTTCTAACTTTTCTCATTTCTTGGGAGATCTACATACACGTTCATCACTAGAAAAAAAAATTATTTGGCTGTTTTGGCCAAATATGAAGTTTCGATTTTTGATGTTTCACAGAGAAAGCTATTGATTGGCAGTAATTCGAGTTACCTGTGACAGGACGGGAAGGTTGTGAAGGCTGTCAAACCTTGTGAGTCATTCCCAAATTCAAGTTTTTAAAAATAGCCTGATTTTTTAAACGGATGGACTTGAAATTTTATTGTAATATATGTATTTCAATCTCTCCTCTATTCAGAATATTCCTACTTAACTCAAATACATAGTACAATACCAAAATCTAAAAAAATCTTGAGCAATCTGTATGAAATCTGCCAACCCTGTACGGGGTCTCAAATTCCTTCTAACGATATCGGGTTCGGAATGCCACACGCAGATTTTTTAATAATATATAAAATTATTATTTTTTATTCAAATTCCACGTTTTATTGTTTAGGCTTTCAAGACAATTTCCATATTTTATTTTTAGCTTCACCAATCAAATAAGAAGGCCAACATAAGTAAAAAATATCGCATTTCGTTTTCCTCTTATACATAATATCATATAGCCCCAATTTTGGAGTCAGACTTAAATAGCTTATCAGTAAGAAGCGAGGTAAGAAGATTCCCTCTTGTATATTTAATTTGAACATTTTGGCAATTTTCTTTATAAATATAACTTTGAAGTATGCCTTAACGAACATAAAAGCCACTGGAATCCCTTAGGTCCAATTTCATATAATGGTGGAAATTTTGAATCTTTTCAGACACAAGTTTGCACTGCACCCCAGTTGCCCTGGCTTGATATCCAGAATTGGCAACAATTCCATCTGCTGTGCTTGTCATATCGTCTGCTTGTTCCTGGCATACATCTTCGTCGAAAGATTCAATCCATTTTCTTGCTCTATGCAGCATTTCCCGAGTACGTGCGTACCGACTACATTTTTCCAAAAGACAAGCGAATAAAAAAATATCAGTTCATGGGATGTCAGCTGCTTAGAGCACGCAGAGCAGAACAACTTGATAAGCCTAATGAATAAACCTTTCAAGATCGAAACTTCACAAAGATAAATTAGGTAAAACCAGGTCTTCTAAGTAGCGGAAAGTGCTTGAATTTGATTCAATTTAAAATATATTTTTAAATAATACATTATTATTGATTAATTGCGGTACCGTCATTTTTATGCATAAATTTCAGTTTGCCATTCACCACTTGATAACTCCTATCAACCACTAACTAATACATGTCTGTTAGGTCTATCTATAGTCATCGAACAAACCTGAACTCGTAGAACATGGTGCAGGATTTATAACTGCCAAATTGGAGCCAACCGTTCTAGATGGTTGCGGTGTGAGACCAGTACGGACTCCTTTATTAAGACTGTGTCCGGAACCGCTTGCGCTACCAGGAACCGAACCGCGTTCTACCAAAATTCCTGGCGCTTCGACGTTGACTCGCGGTTTGGAGTTTGATATTTCCGTTGCTTGTTTTAGGACCTGGTAGATTTGGTCTACTTCGGTGGGTTGTTCTTAATTTTTTTTTTGGAAATAAGTTGGCTGTTAATACTTGGGGTATGGAAAAAGTTTAAAACGGAAATAATATATGGGTTATTTATGTAAAAACATGCAACGTAAATTAAGGAAACAAAGTTGAGAGCCTAAAAATAAATATAAAATACTGACGTTTAGGGGCATGATAAGAAAAAAAATTGTACCTTTGAAAGTTTTATTGAAAAAAAAAAATAAACAGGATGAATTCATAAGAGTTACAACAATTTTCAGTCCGAATTTGACAGGGAATTTTTAAAACAGTAATAATCATAGTTTAAATAATGCAGAAGCCAGGTGATATACATGAATTTAGATAATCGTTGACCTAGTTTGTAGAAAATATACAATTGTCTGATGATTTTTCTACAAAAAAGTTCATTCATAGTTAGATTAGTTGTTAATAATTATTGCCATATTCCTTTTATGTGGTACTTCGGATAAATTGATAGCTTGGTGTCACAATCCATAGAAGCATGGTTACCATTTTATTGGAAAATAAACATTTAAAATAAAATTGTGACACCATCCAGCAGATTATCCTGACCACAAATCAGAGGCGCTGCTGAGACTGGAAAATAAGCGCTCCATTTAATGATTAACCAATAGCCATTCAAGCGCAAGTTGTCAGTTGTTATAAGACACGCCATTTGAAAAATACCTAAATGAACTGCCTCGTTGGTCGGCGGCGAAAGACGATTCAAGTCGATTGGCTTTACCGAGAGTCTTCGGTTTATGGTTGGCATGAAGCCGTCGGCTAAACCTAAATGTGCGACAATAAAAATTGTATTTAGGAACTTTTCAGCTCTCATAGTTGGGAAAACTAAAATAAAAATCTGAAATGAAGTTACGAAGGACCAAAGCTTTCTACAATTGACAAATTTACTTTCATTTATCTGAATTTTTTGCCTTATATTTGAAAATTCGATGCACATTTTTCATTTTTTTATCAATAAGCCAGTTTAGGAACTATACAAAAAATTTCTTCCATTTGATGCCACACAGATGGATAAAAATTTAGGTTTATGCATTCTCCTATTTCATGTGAAATCTCCAAAGAATTAAACGCTCGTAAAGTTTTGCACCGCCTGTTTCCTAATTCAATTTGTCTCGTACACTTTCCAAAACTCATTTTGCCCTCAGCGTAAAACATTTCGCCAAAGCAATAAACCGTGATGTGAGTTTGGAAGTCTTCAAACATGAACTTACAAGGTTCAAGAGAAATCCGAAAAAGTTGGTCCTAAACACATAGAAATGAAACTAGGCAAGATTATTTATATTAAAACTCGAATGAAATGGGTCATAACAGGCATACGAAATCTACATGTTACCGCAGGTGTACCGTTAGCATGAAATTTGAGCTGATAGCAAACTGGTATCCTGTTTTTGCTGCGAATCCTATTACGTGCCTTAACAGCCAATACTTGGTACTAATTTGTCTGGAAGTGTAAACAGACCCTAAAAACACTAGCGACACAAAATCAGGAAACGCTGATGTGGTTGGCTGGTCATCGAGGCATAGAAAGAAACGAAGAAGCAGATGGCATCGCAAAAGAAGGGGCCTCAACACCATACCATGGACCAGAGTCCTATTGTGGCTTAATGAAAAGCCACATCATGAAAGAACTCAAAAAATGGGAGAAAGACCAAGTGTCATCATATTGGAGGTACATTCCAGGACTAAGATAGTCAAAAAGGTTTATCACCCTTTCAGCGAAAAGAGCTGAACAGCTCCTAAACATGAGCATACCAGACATCAGAATGATCGTAGGACTACTCATAGAACACTCCCTGGTGAAATACCACTTAAGGTTAATGGGCAGAGCAGAAGACGGTCTTTGCAGATTCTGCTTAGACGCCATAGAAACAGCAGAACTCCTGCTCTACGAATGTCCAGCCCAATTATACAAGAGGCTCAGATTCCTCGAGGGGGCAACACTGTCACCAGAAGAGGTGGGCCAACAGACACCCAGAAAAATAGCTTCCTTCGGCAGAGGCCTACGCTTCCTGGAGACAATTTAAAATGTAGAGTCACGTACAAAATATCTGCAAAGGTAGCAGTGCTGAGTGGCTGAAAAGCCGAAACGACCCCCCCCACAATCTACAATCTACACTCGATTGGTCGACGACATAGCCATTGTGATAAGGGAAAAATCGGAACGTAAACTCTCCGACACAAAACTTGCATAATGCGAGAGTGAAATAATCCTGACAAAATAACAGTGCCCTTTACAAGGAGAAGGAACCTTGACCATCTGATACCCCTCAACCTACAAGGGGTGGTTGTACCCTTCGCAAACAAAGTCGAAATTACTCTAGATAAAAGGCTCACCTGGAATTTCCATTTGGCTTTATTTGGAAAATAGGCATGATTGAAGAAATATAGGTAAATAAGCATGTGCCACAATAGACCAATGAGTCGCAGTGGAGGGCCGTAATAGGCCCACTCATTTTCGACCTAACCTTACCTAATACTCGATTGGTGGAAAGTCGGACCCGAACGGGATATTTCTCGGAAATTCTTACTGAAAAAAATGTTTGGGTACGCCATACTCTTACTTATAAATGCGCACCTAATTCATATCCTGTTAAAATCCTTTGTCCCTAGCATATGTATATTCAGATCATTTCAAATAAACAATTAAATTTTCATTCAGAGTGGCATTATTCGCGTTATTTTAGGCAAAAGACATAATCTTTCTTTAAAATTGTAAAAGATATTAGATAGTGATAACCGCACAAATTATGAAAAAGACAAATTATGTTAAATTTGAACAAAGTTGTAGGCATTATAAGTGGGATGAAACAGTAGGTATAATTAATGCCTCATTCAAACATGGCAATAATGAAACTTGAGTAGATAAACTTTGCGCCTCCGTAACAATCATCGCAGTTAAACGATATTTGCTAATGGGAATTCTCCTGGAGAGACAAGATATTAGGATTCGAGATTGAAATTTTGCTATACCTGCACCGCCAGGAATTTAATTTTGGATAATATTGCAATTCCAGAAGAATATATGCAGAATATGTATTATATTAAATCACGTACCTATTCGACTAAATTTTTTAAAATTTAATCCAAAACTATTTCGTGATAAAATTCGACCTGAAATTTTTTTGGTGTGTTCAAACGCATATAAAAAGCTATAAAAACTAAATAAGATTTAGATAAATAAAGCCTGATGTAAAACCATAATCCATTTACTAAAACTTACTCTCTTCATCAGCGTTCATGTCCGGCACTCTAGTCTCAATTTCGGATGTGGATTTCTGTCTCCGAAGCAGTTTGGCTTTAGTCTGGCATTTTTGTGCCTCCTTCTGGCAATCGTAATGGATGTTCATCTTGCATATTCTGCATTTTAGACCCTGACGCGTATGACCTGAAATGCAATGCAGAATATTAAATTGGTAACGGACGTGTTTAAACATACATATTTCTAAAAAAAATATGTTGGTATTATCAAGCATTTAATTCCAGAAAACGCCACTCTGTTTATTTTGAATAATGTAATGAAATTTGGCAGGATCAAAATAGAAAGGAAACTGAAAGAAAAATCGTTCGTAGCCTTATTAAATTAGCATTATTCCTAGTTTCTAGGATGATTGCAAAGCTGGCAAATTTATTCCTGCTTGGGTATTGCTATATTCATGAATATTACATCTTTGCAATAGCATGAGCGTTATTAGGTTTGTTTTTCCTTCGTAAAAATAGGTTTGCTTGGAATTTTATACACAAAAATAATTGATTTGAAAGAAAATTTTATTTTAAAAAGACGCACCTCGTAAGATTTGTGAGCAAACGTCGCATGGAGTAATTTTCTTGTATGTGTTTTCTTGGAAATTATGCGCATCTGGATCTCCTTTTAGCAGTTCCCTGGTAGCGGCTGACCCATTTTTCCTAAATAAAAAAGAAAAATATATAGCATCTTTATTAAAATATAAATTTTGCCATGCAAAACATTTAGGATTTGTATCTGAATATATTTTTCAAAAAATTATCATTTTTATTTTTCAGTCTTAAATTACCTTATTGAAAGCATAAAAATACCAGTGACAAAATAAGATATTTGGTGGAAACACTTATTGAAACATCGACCAAATATCATTGATTTTTTATCAGGTATAGAAAGGTCGCCACCGGAATATATTTTCTCAAGTCAAATATTGTCTCTGCTCTAGAGTGCCAAAACCTTATATAAAATCCAATTCAAAAAGACGCCGGCACTCCACAGACCACTCTTATATTCTGATTTGAACATCCAGGAGCGAATAAATGTAGGCACTCAATTTGAGTTACTTGATAGAATTTGTTTGTTGATGAATGACATCGATTAAATTTTATCGTTAGCTTGAAGGAGGGGGAACAGGGTAGCTTTAAAAAAAAAACTATATTTTAGACATTTACTCCCAAACAAGTTAATACCAAAGGCGCGGAGTGAACTGATCAGTCTCTGGAGAATTCGGAAATTCAGTTGAAGTTGTATTTAGAAATAGGGTAGAGGGACTTGCAGGCAGCCCACGCTGAAAATAACCCAGGTTTCCCGATGAGTGGCTGTTTATTGTATAATATTAGAAAGCTTCCTTTAACGAAAAATAACTTTAGATAATACCCTTTTTCGATCAAAATGCAAAATTTCCGCAATAATAATTGAACAAATATACCTTGGAAGTTTAATATAGATGGTTGACATTAAAGATAAACAGAAAACCCAATTTAGGGTGTTTAAACATTGAGGTTCTATAATTTTTAATAACATGTGTGTCATAGTCAGAAGTTGTGCAAAAAGTTTTGAAGAAATTTCATGGTAAGTGATTTTTATTATATTCCGAGAGACTCAAAGTTTTTAATAAAATATACAGAAAATGATAATTCGCTGTGCAGAATTTTTTGAAGCATAATTATAGTAACCATTAATTCCTTAAAGCAACGGACTATATAGTGGCCAAATATTCTTTCGAGGACAAGATAAATGTCACTATGCCTTCAAGAGAAGAATGGGATCAAACCCCTATAGGAAGAAAAAATGAGATAGCAATTTTCACAGATTTAACAAAAACAAAAACCGGCGCAGGAGCCGGAATATACTCAGAAGCACTAAACATCCAAAAGTCTTACAAGCTCAGGGATGATTGCAGCATCCTGTATGCCGGAATAATTGCTATTGCTAAGGAAGGACAAAGCGATAGGATATGTCACCATATATGTGGATAGCAAATCAGCGCTGAGACTAATAGAATCACAAATAGTGGAATCAAAAAGCTGGGCTCCTGGACATAGTAATATCGGAGGGAACGAAATGGCAGATGAACTGGAAATGAAAAAGTACCAAGCTGAAACAGACGACTCATCACAACCAACACTGTTGAAGGATTTAGTAGAATGACGCAGCTGCACAGCAGCAGATGGAGCAATCGCAATGACTGCGGACCAACAAGAGCTCTGTGACCGTACGTGGATATAGAGAAAACCAGGAAATTATTGAAACTGGATGAAAGATCGATAAGCACCTTAGTAGCAATCACAGGACACTGTGAGGTCGGCAAAATGCTCCATAAATGGGGCCTCGGGACCGATGAACTATGTCAAGAATGCTTTGATGAGAAAACATAGAGCACCTACTATGTGACTGCCGAGCCCTGCAGGAGGAACGCCTTCACCACCTGGGTCAAAGTTTCCTGGAGGATCTGGTAGATGCGGGAAACAATGGAAATAGTGAACTTCGTAAAAAGCATGCACTGGCACAAAAGGAAGAAAGGAGGAGAAGGTTGAAGATTTGGGAGAGAAGAAGGGATCACAATGAACCTCTGGAGTCCGGTGCAGGCTCTAGAGTTGTAGGGCAAATCCTTCAAAACCTAACCTAATCCTACCTATAGTAATCGATTAAATTTGGTTTATAGGTAAAGGTTTGCTTAAGCTTACTACACAATATACTTCTAAAAAGGTACAATATATTTCTTGGGAAAATATCTCTATTTTCAAAATCAATTGGTCTGCCTCATCCATTTTTACCGTAACAACAAAAGGTGCAATATCTCCCGTCTCCTGTCATCCCGACTTATTGTTCAATCCAGCAAAATCCGTCTGGAATTCGAAGAACTCCATCTTGAGATAATCGATGACGAAAATGGGAGACCACCAAATATGTTTCGGAGAACAATTTTCAATTTTAGTGAAATATATTCAGATAATATCCACAAAATAATATATTTTTTTCAAATTATAACATTGAGGAGTGCCATATCTGTTGGTGTATACTGTAATCAATGATTGGTGTTTATTTAGAAACATTTATAGTGAAATAAATAGTATAACTTGACAACAAATATGTTAAATATACAACATCGTTACTAAATTAGCAGTTGGTGCAATTTTTATACGTACTCTTTTATTGAGGCTGCAGACATATGTACAGAGTTTAGTGTACGAGGTGAGGGTGACATTAAAAGCAACTAATCTAAATGGATTTTAGATGAAACATGGTTAAACTATCTTAGCTTTCGTCGATTATTTATTTATTTGTCACGCAATGGATTATGTACCCTTTCTAAATTGATAAATATTTGAAAGCCATCTTGAGTGTGAAATTTTTTAATTTTCCGCGAAATGATTTTCTAGAACCGTGCTCTTACAGAAATAAAAAGTCGATAATTTGATTTACTGATTATTGAAAAATAAGGTTGAGTTTTCCATCCAGTTCAATGTGAATGGCTTTTTACATGAATTAAATTTCGATGTTCAATATAAAACTCGGATTACATTGCCAAATTGAAAATATTGCGAAACTAGTTTGAAATTAGTACGAAAATTATCAATTTATTTACATAGTAATGAATGACCCAATTTCGGAAAATGAAATTAGTTACCAAACCAATTTGTTGGATTGGGTTTCCGGGTAATTTTCTATCGTTTTTTTGATAAATCAGAAATTTGTTGGATGTAATATTGCTATTAGAAATTTGCTATCTCAGGTCAAAAACAAATTGTCCCTAGAGATTTGAATTACATATAGTTGGCCTGCTTAGCTTTAAGATTGAGTTAGACTAGAAAATACACAAGGGAAATTAGGTGTATAAAGGAATTCCAAGAAAGTATGAGGAATATTACATTTAATTTCCGCATTCATGATTGTCGGCTGCAAACCTCACTGGTCCTTATGCGAGATTCATTTCTTCTTTTATATTCATTTAGAACTTTTCGTATTTATAATTTCTTCGATGCATCAAGTAGGCAAATGGGTTTGTAGGTTGCAGGTGCTAAATCTTCTTTTTTTTGTAGAAGTATACGTACTAGTCTTGCAAAACTCCCAGGAAAAACGCCCGGATCAACACAGAGGTTTATGCCTATCAAACTATCTTCGTTTGCAAAAATCCACTGCTATTTACAATTCACAATTCCATTGTATGTTACTGTCACCTCATTGCCCAGATATAAATCTGTATAAATGATATTTTTAGGTTGGTTAACATTTTTACCTTGTCAGGAATTAGAGTTTATCGTTAGGCACATCTTGAATCATTCCTCTTATTTTCTTCTTTTTTTGTGACGGAGAGACAAGCTTAAGCGTTGATGTGAGTTTTTGTATAAGTTCTTTATAACATTTGAATAGTGATGAAGCATTAGTACAAGGCTTCTATAATGGAAAAGTCTCTGTATGTTTATTTGATAAATAAATAAAAATGAATGAATGAAAGATTAGCTACTCCACTAGGAAATGAATCTACAAACGTTGAGGCATCCTTGTTCCAGTAGCAAATTTTACAAATACTGGATTACATTAGCAACTGATCTCCAAACTCGCCTTGATATGAATTTTAACATTATTTGACATGACAGATAATATTTCGTTTCGTTGTTTCGACTACTTCGGTAATCGCAAACTCGTAATTTAATTTCAGATGTTCTGAATTTTTCAACGAAAAGATTCGCAACGAAATTAATCACGAGACGTCCCGTTGTAGTTGCGTCATATACAGCCGATTCATTTTTGATCGGGTTTTCGACGTCGCGTCACCTCAAAGGTATATGCGATGTCTATCATCGAAGCGTTTGAAGTTTACATATTGCATGCTTAGTTGAATTTCAGGTCCTTAGCAAATGATTTCCGCAATATTTGAGACTTTTAGTAGAGAGATGTTACCGTCACTATTATTTATGGGGAACCAAATGATTAATAACCATATATCTTTCAGCATTCATGTGATCGGGCTTCGTCTCGACATGTAACTTCAAACCGTCAAATAATATTCGGGCTTGAAATTGAAAAAATAAGGTGCTTTTCGTCATGGAGTGTAGACTAAACGCAGCCATTTCCTGTTTCAGTTTCAAATTGAATGAATCTGCAGTCATCGCCCAGGGGTAATGTTAGGTGTTTAGGACACGTGTCCTCAGGGGTATGAAGATTAAAAAACTTTGTTGTAATATCAAAGAAAAGTTTAAATTAAATAACTTGATTTTCTCGGAAAAAAAAAATATCCCAAAAATTTCGGTGTCTTTAAAAATGGACAAAATCAGTGGAGCTTAGAAACAAAAAAAAAAACTCTAATATCGTGTCGGTAAAGCAATGAAAACGTGATAGCTTAGTAAACGTAAATGCGTAAATGAAAACAATAGGCTATTCTAATGATAATGCAATGGTAATTACCTCATTGACATTATTGTCGATACTGCATGGTACATTTGGTTTTTTGGTCTGTTATGAATAAAAAACAATATTGAACAACATCAATAAAAGTTCTAACAAATGTTCTACCTTTGAGGAAAATAAGAATAACATCAGCTTTTGTTAAACTGAGAAATATAATAATTTCTATTAACATGTTGTTCTTCTTTCAAATTAAGCGTAAAAATAGTGAATATATTTTATAATATGCTATATTTAAAAAAAACCTACATAGAATTTAAAATCTACATCTAAATAATTTGAACAACTCTGTTGCCAGCCTGCTATATCGATTTCATTGAAAAATTCAAGCCCTATCAGAATCCAAGCTGAAAGGTTACCCACTAGGCTGAAAATAAATTGGCCTAATAAATTATTCTGTTGCTGTAAGAGCAAACCCTAGTCCAATGTTAGTCACGCGGTTTATTCAAGGTATAAATTGATATGGACTGCGACAGCTCCTCATAGGTTTTGGTCAAAGATGATGCAGAATACCGATAGGGTGATTTTGCAGTAGGATTGAAACAAAAAATTGGAGACTTTACTTGTCGCAAGTAGTCAAAATCATAACTGTGACGATTGACGAATTTATGCACGTTCGATCCTATTCTAAAGGATGTCATTCCAAAAAGCTTTCCCTAATTAGCTCAATAATGTGTGCTCCGATCATAAAGTGCCATCAACTTCAAGCCTTTATAGGAAACCAAAGACCAGAAGTTGGTTCCGGAAGATCAGTTCTGATTCACAAGCAACAAAATTAAAACAGAAATTGGAGAAAGACCCGATAAAACCCCACGAAGACATAAATCAAATTAATAAAAGAATATTTATTTATTTATTTATTTTTTGACGGGAAATCCAATAATAGCATACAGAACATCTATATACAATAATTAGACATTTAGACGAGAATTAAAAAAGAAAAACAAAAGACTACTCAACAACATGGCAAGATGGCGAACCTTACATACAATAAAATTATTTCTTATTACTAAATATCACATTAACAATCAATAGGTACAGGAACTTTGTTTAAGGAGTTAAGCTCTCTTTTGAAGTCTTCACGAGTACTGAAAAAGTCCAGGGTATCGAACTCATTAGAGATTCGGGAAGCTCTGGAGATAAAAGTATTCGAACCATAGTTAGTCTGGTGGATCTTTTCTGAGAAGGTGGTGGAAGAGCGTGTGGTTCTTGCTGGGGCATGAAGTCCAATTTTGGATAGTAGGTATATGGAATCGTTGTGAGAGTTTAGTATTTTGGAAAATGTTAATAAATCACTTTGATTTCGTCTGGTGGCTAACGGTTGCAGGTTGAAGCGTCGGTAGAGTTCATCATAGTTGTAGATATAATTTTCGGGAGGAGAAATACCTTGAAGGCCAAGTACAGTACAAAGTTGCGGTGCATCTGCTCCAAGGCGTTGATGTGGACAGAATACATAGGTGACCAAACCGAGGAGCAGTACTCCAGGATGGGCCTTATCATTGTGCAGTAGAGAAGCCTGATGAAAGAGATGTAGTGAAGTCCCTTGAACACCTCTTAACAAAGCCCAGCAGTTTCAGGTTTCAGAGATCTGGGTAGCGATATCCGAAAAGTGACTGGAGAAGCTTAACGTGTTATCAAAAATGACAATGAGATCACGTTGTTGGGAGACTGTTTCAAGTGGTTCATTGCTTATGTGGTAAAGAAATTGTATGAGGCTTTGACTTTTGGAGAAAACGATAGCTTTACATTTAGAGGCATTGAGTTCCATGCCACTTGTGACACACCATTCGGAAAGTCTATCCAAGTCATTGTATTCTGGCATAGTCTTCGTGGGAGGAGACTCGGGCAAATATCTTTAAGTAATCGGCAAAACACAGAAACTCACTTTTAATGAAACAAGAACCAATATCGTTGATGGAAATATTGAATAGCATGGGTCCCAGGTGAGATCCTTGTGGTACACCTGAGGGGATGTTAATGGGCTTTGAACAGAAATTGATGATCTTCACTGTTTGGGTTCTGTTCCTAAGGTAGTCGCTGATCCACGCGAGCAGAGTACCAGAAATTCTAATTCTCTCAAGCCTCGCAAGTAGGACGTTGTGGTTCACACGGTTGAAGGCTTTAGCAAAATCGGCATATATGGTGTGCACAACTCCACCGCTTTCAAGAATCCCTGAGATTTTATCCTGGTACGTCAGGAGGTTAGTTTCGGTTGAACACTTTGGCCTGAAACCTGCTTCCTGTTCGATTAGGCAAGGGTTGATGATAAGAGATAAGAATTTAGTTACTATATTCTCAAAGACCTCAGGGATAGTGTTAAGGATACTGATAGGCCTGTATCTGGTAATTAATGTCCATTTTGTCACCGATCTTATGGATTAGCGTGATAAAACTCCGCTATCAAATCTCAGGAAATACCCCACTACTAAGTAATTCATTGAACAAAATAAACAAAGGACGAGATAGTATAAAGCTACACCTGCTGAGCATCAGAGGGGGGATGCCATCCGGGCCAGGTCCACGAAAGATCAGTAGCTTACACAGTTCCTCGTAAATAACTGAGATGAAGATTTCAAAGTCATGAATGTGAATGTTACTATCAGAAATGCTGTGGCCCATAACACATGCTTTGTCTGAGTATACAGAATGAAAGTATGCACCGAAAAGATTAGCTAGTTCAAGTTTTGGCGAATTTACCGTCATGAACCATATAAGAAGGGAGTCTATAAGTCTGTTTTCTAGCATTGACAAAGTTCCAGAAATGTTTTAGATTTTTATCCCTAAGAAATGACACCTCTGAGGATATGACATAACTTGTATAGCAATATTTGGAAAGGGTCTTACACTGATCTCGAAAGTGTGAAAATTCAACATAGTCAGCAGGGGAACCTGTCTGCTTCCAAGTTCTGTGGGCACTTGTCTTCTTAATTATTAGGTTCTTAAGTTCAAGGGAGAACCATCGTGGAAATTTATGGCTTGAGAGCTTCCCCTTTGATACACAACAATCGATAGCCGTATAGAGAACATCATAGAAAACCCTGGTCATTTCCGTCACATCAAGACCCCGGAGTAAGTCATCCCAGCGAACCATCCCAAGGTTATCGTTGAGGAGTATGTAATCAGTAGACCCAAAATCATAATAATAACAAATAACGAAAACAATGAAAGAAACAGCAAGAAATATCATGAAACTAAACAAGAGGCCAGAAAAATTAGCAAAGAAACAAAAAAATGCTAGAGAAAAGAGGAGAACTCATGAAACAAGGAAGAAAAGATATACCAGAATACAGAGGGACTAACAAAAAAGCCAGAAGGATGACAAAACAAGACATTAAAAACTACCAAGAAGCACAAATCGAAAAACTGATACAACCACAAAAAGGCTTAAACGTTTTCAAAAGGGTAATTACAAAGCTGATAGACAAACAAGGAAATATTATAGATAGACAAAGATAGAATATTGCGGGTGGCGGAAAATTTCTTCGCAAGAAGCAACAACGGAAATAACAAACAAGAAACCGTAAGCGAAACATCCAAAATTTTAAATGTCGGGTCAGAAGAGATTCCTAATATAGAAGAGGAAGAAATTGTAAATGTGCTAAGCCAATTGAACAATGGAAAAGCCCCAGGAATGAACGATATGCTACCAGAAATACTGAAGGAGGCAGGAGAATACTAAACCAACTGAAAACACTTTTCAATAAATGTCTAACAGAGGGGAAAATACCACACGATTGGGAGACTGCCATCGTCGTTTTGATATACAATAAAGGAGAGTGATGGGTCTCCTTGGAAACTATAGACCCATAAGCCTCCCGTCCAGATATACAAACTGTTTATGAGAATAATCACCAACCGCCCAGAAACGAAATTCCATGATTACCAACCTAAAGAACAAGCAGCCTATAGAAAGAGCTACAGCACTATAGAACATCTTCACACAATAAGAATACTTAGGCCCAGCCGGTAACTAAGAAGCGACGGCAGACCTCAACAATTCCGGTACGATGACATCAAGCGAACAGCAAGACTTGGTACCAGGTCGCACAGAATAGAAATACCTGGCAAAATCTGAGAGAGGCCTATATCCAGATAATAGAGAACGATTATAGGAAGAAGAAGAGATAAGAAGATAGAAGTTGTCTTGCTAGACGTTGTACAAGCTTTTCATATTGAACCTGGCTATCTGTAATGGTTGCAATTCCATTGCCGCCCTTGCAATATACCGATTTATCCATTTTAGAAAAATTCCCTGCAGAAATTATAGACAAAATTGACACGGTTCTTAAATTACCTACTCCGTCAAAATATATTTGTGGTAAAAAAAAATCCCTCTAGGATAAAAGTTCTTACAATCGCGCTGAAGTAATCCCCCCAGGGTGCCAATAGATGAGAGACCAAGACTTAGGAAGTTGAGAACGGGCACAATATTTATAATTAAAATGGATCGTAGGGCCGTCTCGTCTATCCCCGTAGGAAATAATTTTGAGCTTACTGCTTCCGACTATATTTTTCATAAATAAAATTCTTTTGGATTCTTCTAATTAAGGACAGTATCACTGGGTAATATGGCCTTTCAACTAACGTCCTAAGCGTTCTTGTACTTTATTCGACTTTACTAGTTTCGTTTTTCCAATAAGCCTTATAACTGATTGGATATTTTTGTGCCCCAACTTTAGACCCATAAATCACTTAGTTTTCCTCTTAGAAGATTTCGTGGCTTGTCATTCTATACGATTGATAGTACTTAAGCTAAGATTAAGAGTTTCAAAATTTATATTTTCATTTGTTGAAATAAATAATCTTTAGACAAAATCCGCTGATAGAACAAACTGGCAATATTGAGAAAAATTAAGTAATAAAAGAGACTAAAAATAATTTGATTGATTAAGCCAGTGATTTTTTTCTCTGTTTAATTGAATATAAATTTTTACTTGCGTTACAAGTGCAGAGAAATCAAAAGCACTGAAACTTTACTGTTAATTCAAAAGTGGAACCTCAAATGCAATTTTCATTATTATTGATTGATTACTTAGATCATATTGGTAGTCTCTTTTAAAATATAGAAGCTTGAAAAATATTAACAAAAGAAAAAAAAATATATAAAAAAAAATATACGAAAAGTATCATTAAAATAGAAAACTTACTTGGGTTGTTCTTCAGGTGGTGGCGTTTTCAGGCTTTTGAAGGCTTTCATCCACTTATTTTTCATGCTAGCAGTCGAGGACGCGGACATTTTCCGTTCGCGACCCGCTACCGTATCGCCCTCAAGCTTGCTGCTGAAAAGTTCTTTCTGCAAAAGAAAATAAATATATCAGAACGCTTTTTAAGTTAATTAAAAATTCCGCTGCGGTAGACGTTACAGCGTACTTTGGAACACGACACAAGATTTTTTTTTGTGTCTTTCCAGAACCTAATTAAGTAGATACAGCTTTTTTCGCGTCGGCCATCTGGTCTTTGTTTCAGATGCAAAATGCTAACAATGAGATAATATAATAAGTCCAGAGAAAAAATAAATAAAAAGAGTTACATCTAAAGAAAAATATTCATTTTTATCCTCCCAGATTTTGGCTAGCAACTCATTTGTTTGTTAATCTGATAAAAGCTTCTAGAAATGATTTGGAGGTGAGCACTCAAAGTCACGAGGTTTTGGCCTACCTGAAAAAATAAGGTGTAGACATTCGACTCATGTGGTGGTTGTTTTCGTTGTTGAAGGTTTATATCAAAAATTATTGCGAGATGAATATGTGGTGTCTACTATATAAATGTATGGCACACTTTATCTAAAATGACTCATATTTTATACGAAGTCAGGATATGAAGCTGTTTTAGTCGCTCTGATGTCGCCAAAAAATATCTCCTACAAGAACCTTGGGCATACAAGGGTTGCGCATGTATGTATGTATGTATGTATGTATGTATGTGTTGGAGGTTTCAGTTGCACTGCGACCAAGGTTGATCTATTGTACCCCTCCTTCTGCTGCTGAGTACGGGTTTCCTGCTTAAAGCAGCCCCTCTAGTCCTAGGTCGTTTAGGAAATTTAGGATGTCTAGCGGTTCCAGGGCTGGAATGTCTTCCAGCTGTATAAGGGACTTCCCAGGTTCTTCATTCTTGAGCGGCTTACGGCATCGCAGTTCAGTAGAAGATGGTGAGGTGTTTCTTCACCGTCTTCACAGAATCTGCAAGTGTTACCTTCTTCCAAAACCAGATTATGTAGGTGCTTATTCAGTCTGCAATGTCCCGAGAGAAACCCGGTTAGAGTTTTGAGACTTTTCTTGCTAAGGTTGATCAGCAGTTCAGATCTTTTTTGGTTGTAGCTACCCAGTAGATCTTTGGCCTGTCGTAGTCCTGGTTGGTCTAGCCATTGTTTGTTCCTTAGCCGGTTCTCTTCCTTTTTGAGGATTTCTTGGAGGTGCGCATTTCCGACGCCGCAGAATTGTTCTGGCCCAGTGAAGGGAGGGGCCGCTCCCGTTTTTGCAAGTTCGTCTGCGCATTCATTGCCCTCGACTGCTATGTGTCCAGGAACCCAGAGTAGGGTTACTTTCTTTTCTTTCCCCAGCTCATTGAGTTTCTGTAGACATTCCCATACTGTCTTAGAATTGATTACCGGCGAGCTCAATGCTTTGATAGCTGCTTGGCTGTCAGACATTATTACAATTTCTCGTTTTCGGTACCTTCTGTTCAGGTTGAACTGCACGCATTTTCCGATCGCATGAAGTTCCGCTTGGAATTTGCTTGGTGATTTGCCCATTGGCTCCGAGTATCTGGTTCGTGGCCCGAATACTCCGGCTCCTGTCCCTTCAGCAGTTTTGGAGCCGTCTGTGAAACATTTGATGGTGTTTGCTTTAAGGGACTGGATACATTCTATGTTCCACCTGTGCTTTGTACTTAGTTCGATGGAAAAGTTTTTCTCGAAACTGAATTTATCAACAATCACGTCTTTTGGTAAGTCCATGAGGTGTGCACAGTTTGGGAGAGGGAAAGCTCTGCCAAAGTGCGTTTTCCCCTTAGACCTATCTTCGCCAGTCTTAGACATGATTCACTGGCAACCCGCTTCACTATTGTGTGAAGTGGTGTTAGGTCTATAGGATGACTTCCATTGCCGCGGTTGGGCATGTTCTCATTGCTCCTGTTATGCATAGACATGCGAGTCTTTGTACTTTTCCTAGGGTTTCCCTAGCCGTTACTAGCTGGGTTCGGCTGTACCAGGTTACCGCTCCGTAGGGGATGATAGGTCTCACTATCATGGTATACATCCATCGTAGGATCGATGGGTTGCAACACCACGTTTTGCTCGCAATGTTTTTACATACCATGAATGCCGAAATTGCTTTGTTTGTTATGTTCTCTATATGTCGGTTCCAAGGGTTGCGTAAGAGGATTAGGTAGAATGGAAAGATCACTTTTCTATAAAAGGGACTTCCAACTGAACCCAAGGACTTGCATCTATGTCGACAGACGGATGGAACCCACTCTAATACCTAACTTCTGCTCTAGAGACCTAGTAGCGGTAAAGCTATGCTTCAAGGATCCACTGGGACAGAGCAGATCGATAGTAGTTTGCTCGGCCTGTTTGCCCCCAGATGATCCCCCACCATAGAAGTTCATCGATTTAGTAGAGAACTGTAACTCACTGGGCCTTCCGTTGATTGTTGGATGCGATGCCAACGCACACCACATGGTGTGGGGCAGCACCGACACGAACCTGAGAGGGCTCAGTCTGCTCGAATACCTTCACACCACTGATTTAGAAATTCTGAACCGCGACAGCGCACCGCAGACAAAAGGTGATAGACTTGACATTGGGCTCACTCTCCATGACCCCGATGATAAGCAAGTGGACAGTATCTGACGGACCGTCCCTATCGGATTACAGACACAGCCTATTCAGCTTGGACCTTGATCACAAGGTTGGACTCAGTAAGTTCAGGAACCCCCGCAACATACGTTGAGATCCCAAGGGCTGAGCTAGAAGAGTTTTTCACGCCATGCCGCAGCGCAAGGCAACTGGAGGAAACAGTCGAATTCATACGCAACGCAATTACTTCATTTTACTTTATTTTACTATATCATTACGGGCGAACCCAATCACAATGACAGGAATAAATGAGAGTTACATAGGTAAGTTTACATTGAAGCCAGAATACAAGTAACAGAAGTCTTAAGCACTAACTAGATATACGAGAAAAGGTTGGACTTTTATGAATTATTTTGCAAGTGCGTATTCTTGAGTTGTCTTAAATTAGTATTAAATATATATCAATAGTTGGAGTATTGTATAAAGTGGAGAGTACTTTAAAATATTTAATCTAGGCATTTGCAGGTAGAAAGTGGATAGTTGCCTGTATCCCCGTCGTGGAGTTATGAAGATTAGTTGGGCTAATAAGTATGCACAGACTATTTGGTTGTTTAAAATTTTATGTAACGTTGCCTTAGAAGTTGGTTTTGGGAAATTCCCTGAGCTGAGTAGGTTCCGTCTACCTTAAAAGATAAAAATATCAAGAAAAGCCTTTGAATTCTCTCCAGGCCTTCTATATGGTTAACTTGATGTGGCTTCCAGACAACAGATGCATTTTCGAGATTTGATCTAATATAAGCGAAGTAAAGACTTTTGACAGATGCTAGTTAATTCTTCTGAGATGCGAACAATGAAACCGTACATTCTCGATGCACCTGATAAAATGTCTTCAACTTGAAACTAGAATGATAATTTTTTGTTAAAAATTACTCCTAGGTCGCGCATAGTTTCCGGCCTCTCAAGGATTTGACTATCTATAGCATAGTCATAAGTTGGATATGCGGTCTTATTTGTGTACGTCATTACTTTGCATTTGGCAGTGTTAAGAGGTAGGGCGTTTTGAACGCACCAATTCTGGATTGCATTTAAATAATTTTGGAGGGCCAAACAGTCAGAAACGTCACCCACCACTCTGAATGTTTTGAAATCGTCGGCATATGAAAAACTGGTTGAACTGAGTCCTCTTCCCATACCATCTATGAAGATGTCAAAAAAAAAGGTTCCAGCACAGAGCCCTGCGCGGTACGCCAGAGGTGACAAGGTATTCGGCAGACCTGACGCCATTCACATAGACGTATTGGCGTCCCTTCGTTAAGCAAGATCTTATAACACGCAACAAGGGTATGTTAAACCGAAATTTTCCCAGGCTGTCAACAGCACGCCGGTGTCAAAACTGTCGAACGCCTTGGAAAAATCTGTATATATGACATGCAGCTGTTGACCTACATCAATGGCTTGAGAAATGGTTTGTATTATAGACAGAAGATTGGTAATAGTATAACGTCCTTGAATGAAGCCGTGCTGATTAGGTGATAAAATGCTCTACACGGAGGGATAGATAGACTTATGTAAAAGAAATTCAAAAGCTTTTAAAAAGATATCAATTATGGTTATAGGTTTGTAGTTTTCAATATTGGCTGTAGGGTACACCTTGCTGACCTTCCACGAGAAGGGTATTTTCGACTTGTTAACGCACTTGTTGTATAGCCTACACAAAGGAACCGCAAGTGCGCAAGCACTGACTGTTAGTGTGGGTTTAAGATTTCTAAGACCATTCTCGACTTCCATCTCGGAGAAATCTGATATGTTAATGCAGGGGGAGTTACTGTACACCGTGTGATTCTGAGTAAGTTGTATAGGGTGAGTGTTGAAAACGCTCTTGAAATAGTCTGAGAAACCTTGCTAAATGAATTGCATAGAGTCATATTCAGTATTATCGTGGTGCATTATGTTAGGAATTGATGAATTGATGACGTTGTTTTTAGGCTGTTTATGAAGGACCAGAGTTTCGAGGTATCGCTCTTTTTGTTATTTTCAGTAGTACGTATGAAGTCAAGGTGTAGATTTTTTATTTCAATTTTCAAAGGAGGCACAATTAACATTGAAAATAGGCCCCCGTAAATTTCAACCAAATCTCAATATTTTAAAGATATCATCATTGCAAGAAAAAATTTGAAATGTAAAGAGGATCGTATGCCTGTGATAGTAGATATAGCTCATCAAAGTACATAGGTCCTGCTATGCTATGCATAGGAAATATCCCTACGTAGATTTTCTTGAATATCTCGAAAAATACTAATCCGATTTTGAAGTTTTTGGGGTCCTTTTGTAGGTATCAAACTGCAAAAAGGTCAAAATCGGATTAGTATTTTTCGAGATATTCAAGAAAACCTACGTCGGGATATTTCCTCGGATATTTACTATGCATAGCATAGCAGGACCTATGTACTTTGATGAGCTATATCTACTATCATAGACATACGATCCTCTTTACA